GGGGCTCATCAGTGGTAGTGCGCGCCCACGACTCCTGCACCTCGCAGGACTCGAACCTAGGACCTTCAGTCTTGCACTCGAATGCCTAACCTCAAGACCATTGAACCGGTATATAAAGGTCTGAATGCTCAACCTCGATCTATTCACGGTCTTGCCCAACTTCATACAGTGTCATCGGTGAGCACTGCTTCACACCCGAACAGGGTTGAACTGCACTGATTGCTGAATCCCGTATCAGGACGAAACAGCCTTTCAGTGCATCTTGCAGGTTTCTGTCAGTGATCTAACATTGATCGATTCATGATTTTAATAACTAGACCTATATTACGTGTTTTTCTGTGTGACTGAATGACAAAATCAATACAGAAATGAACTTAAGTGGTGTATTAGACTCTTAAACATTTGTTTAAGAAAAAAATGATCAGTCCCAGTGGCCTTGTTTGATTTATTCGATCAGTGTTCTTTTTCTTATTTGCAAGATTTAAAATAGGCATAGAATTGAGAAGATGAAAGATAGAAAGCTAAACAAAGTGAGATAAGTTTTTCTGTTTCAGTATCAGTAAATACAATAAATATATAGTCATTTTTAAAAAAAAAAAGTTGGTTTATATATGATAAACAAAGACATTATGTTATGATTACTGGTACAACAATGATAAATACTGCTACTACTACTACTACTACTACTACCAATACTGGTATTTTTCTTGTCAGTAGTACTCACATTATCTAAACTTGGATCTTCTACCGACAATGTAAAGCCAAAAAAACACAGCATGCGTGTATATATTCAACAAATTATCTGGGATGATTATAATTTTGCTGTGAACATCAATCAGCGATGATCATTGACGTTGATCGCATCATGTGTTTCATAGTGAAATAGTAAACTATTTGATCGATCTACATGTATATATATATACATATATATATATGTGTGTGTTTACAAATACAGTCCAACTGACAGCCCATCATCTAAACATACTACTGACAACCATGATTAGTACTAACGTAACCACTACTACTACTGCTACTTCAGTCAAATAATAATAACCAATTTTATATACAATCAAAGTACAGTCATGAATAAATTGTCAGTTTACGTCATAACATTAATACAGTTATTTACAATTAAATTGATAGTCACTGTAGATTTTTTTCTTAAAAATACGATAATAATAATCATAATAATACAAATTAAGACATTGTTTTGATTGATGTGTAAAAAAAAAATAGTTGCGTGCATTTCATCCGCCTCATACAACTAACTACTCTCCATTCCATTGTATTCACATCAACAACAACAGCACTAAACAGTCACATGACTCCTATTTTATTGACTTCAATTACATGTTGGTGGAGTGATCGGTGAATAATTATTGTATTTTCACGTACACACACACACGCACACGCATACATACAGACGGACAACAGTACAATTAGGGAAAGAAGTGTAAAAAAACAGTTGTTGTAAGGTTAATTGAAACATAGTTTCAGAAGAATTGGGCAATCATAGTGATATGATTTTCTTCGAAAGAGAATATATATACATATATAAATTCTTTCATATCATTGCCATTGTTAGTAATGCTTACTCATAAAAATGTAAAGTGAAGTAAAGTAAAGTATTCGTGAACATTTTACCTGGGGGGATTTTAAATTCACAAAAACAATAATACCTAGTAAGAAAAGCCGTGATTATAAGAACTGCAGTTCCTGATTCATAGGAAACTTTGGTCTATTGAAAGTGAGGTGCAGAAAACTTATGCAATAATTTCCAGTTAAATGAAGTCATCATTACCAAGTACTACTACTACTACTGTGGTGCTGTGGTGCGAGCTACTTATAAGTAGTATATGACGTCAGTGTCAACGTAATGTCTGGCAGCAGAAGATGGGGGAAGATCAAGAAAGGAAGAGTTAGAACACAATGGAATTTGTATGAAACGCATGAATAGTGACAATGGATTGATGTTTTGCAACAGGAACAGTCCAGTTTGATAGGATGGACTGATATTTTGCAAATGAACGATTTACGATATGGTTTTCCTATTTTACTGAGTAACTCTGTAATTTTCGTTAAATACAATTCGGTTGCCCTCACCTGTGTTCTCCTTCACTACACTACTACTACTACTACTACTACTACTACTACTACTACTACTACTACTACTACTACTACTACTACTACTACTACTACTACTACCACTACTACTACTACTACTACTACTACTACTACTACTACTACCACTACTACTACCACTACTACTACTACTACTACTACTACCACTACTACTACTACTACTACCACTACTACTACTACTACTACTACTACTACCACTACTACTACCACTACTACTACTACTACTACCACTACTACTACTACTACTAATAATAATATTAATAGTAATAATAATATGATACATAGTAATAGAGTTTTGAGTTGATTTTCTTCATTGTCATAATCGGCATTTGCATATCTTGACAGCAGAGTCAATGTTTTCTATCATAGATGACAGTTTTTTCCCCCAAGGTAACAACCACACACTACATGACATTGTCGGGGACGTTAGCTCCCCCAGAACTCATATGATAAAGGTCCTAATTTTGGATTTTATGTGTTTTCGCGTATAGGCTTCTCAGTTGACCTTCAGATTACATTTCCCAGCTCAGAAAATCTTTGACTATTATTGGTTGATGTGTTATTTTAGTACGCTGTGTTTGTGTCTCTCCCAAGGACGTTTCTATCATTGTATAAATAAACTCGATTTGTATGCTTGTGGACCTCACATTTTCTGGATGCTTGTACAATACACTTTCTAAGCCATATCAATATATCCAGCTCTACTTAATGGGGCCTTGGGACCGCTCGGATTAGAGTAGTAGCTTATCGTGTGTCACTGGATCATTTGACTTCGCTCTACGTCTACCGACTAAGGTGAACTCGTAAACTAGCATTCAAGCATATCTAATTGACGAATACATCTAACATCTCTCACAATAAGAAAAAAAATCGCATTTCTTTTCAATGATTTTATAGGTTTCACAAAAGGAAATTGACCTTTTATTTAAATATTTTTTTTAAGAAATTCTATGAATAAAAAAATGGAAATCCTACCCAGAAAAACAAACAAAACAGAACAAAGAACATAATTCTTAGCACTTAAATAAACAAAACTAGTTAGTGAACAGTGTGACTTACCACGACATTTAGTATCTTCATCTGTGGCTGCTTTGACTGATTTAATTTTTGTTTGATCCGGTGGCAATTGCCATAATTGTTCATCATCAAAATTTTCCGGTAATCCTTTTATGTATAAATTAGTTCTAGACATTTTCTCTGTGACATGACCATTTTGATGTGGATGTGTGGAAAATTTCTGACCAGTACCACCAGCACCACCAGCACCTCCACTCTTATCACGATCAACATCATTGTTACTACTACTACTACTATTGAGGATAGTAGTAGTAGTAATAGCACCACAACCTGTGATACTATTACTGCCACTATTTTGATTCGATGTCATACTGATATCATTCATACTACTCATGGTTGTATTGACATGGATACTACTAGTTGACTTTGTATGATTATTATTGGTACATTGAATAGATTCATTGGATAAATATCCTTTCAGTCCATTCTGTTCAATACAATTGGCTAAATCTTTCATCGACTCTGTACGATTTTGTTCCATGGAACTGTGTGAACGCATCTTAGTCTCTTGTTGTTGTTGTTGTGATTGCTGATGTTGTTGTTTCGGCGAGGAATCCGCTGAATAAATGTATGTTTCATTCGATGTTGGCATGTGTGGATATGATTGAAGAGTTTTGTTTTGTCGTTTGATTAGGCAAATTAATGTGAGAAGCTGTTTTTGTGTGTTTCTCTTATTATTGTTATTATCAAAATAAACTTAATTCCTTTGGTTGATATTTCCAAACAACAAGAATCTGAAGCATGAAAATATGACGTTGGATGTAAAGAAAAATATACAATCAATATCCTCCTAATGTTATATACGATGTGCAAATTTTAAATTTTCCACTACCTGAGGATTCGCTATTCTATTTTCTTTTACGTACAATTAATTGTAGACCAATTTTGTTGGTGTTATGATGAATAACACGTGTGTGTGTGTGTGTGTGTTAGGCAGGCAGCGGCAGGGTGTGTGTGTGTGAGTAGTGATCACTGCCAAAAAATTTTAATTCGATGAGATGACCTCAATAGATGTGTTGTTGTTGTTGTTGTTCAGCTGCTTCACAGCAAATTCACCAGTTTCGATTGTTATAGTGTATAACAAATAGTCAGCTTCCAATCTCTCTTACTCATAAAAAAAAGTAGCCAGTTAAAAAAAATCGTTCCAAACCGAGCACTTTTCCAATACGACAATATGATATGTTTGTCTATCTATCTCTTTCGCTCTCTCTCTAGACTGCGCGCTTGAATAATTTTATTTTCTGAATCTTGGGTATTTTTCATTTTAATGTAGATTTATTTATATAATAATGCCATTACACCACCACTAATTCACACGCACACTCACAACATATACATACACATACGCACACATAAAATACAAAGTTGCACCTGTTTAAATAAAACAAACAAACCATTCAAATCAGAAATCCTCCATCGTGTGAGAGTGTATGTATATATAAATGAGCGATATCCAGACAGGGAGTAAGTAGATGAAGAAACCAGCAGACAGGTAAATATAGAAATTTGGCCTGAGCTGATGATTTTTCTTCACGAAAAAATAATATTGCAATTACTAATAATAATCGTAATAATAATGACTATATTATGCTGATGACGCACTAGTTTTTTTTTTCACTGAACACACATAACAACTACATTGTTGTATGTAGAATTTTGTAAGCAAATAATAATCATAATAATAACCAAACAAATGAGATAAGAACACATCATTCCTATTGGTCCGATATTGTTTCAGGAAATTTCACTGCATATATATATATATATAATAAATGTGCGTGAATGAGAGACGCACTTATTTTCTTCGTACACTAAAATTATCTTAGAAACAAAATTTCGGTAACAAATGTATCATTGATTACAGTGTTTTTTTCTAAATCCCTCTTATTATAAATAAATATATATATTTCTAGGAATTTAGTAAAGATAGCAATGATTTTTCGAGGTGAATACAAATGTGTATATAAATGTGTATGATTGACAGGAATACTTGTTTGATGGTACACCCCAAAAATGAAATGTACAGACATATCTTCTTTCTATATGCACAAATTCACAAGTTCAGTTTTTGTAAAATTAAATTCTCTTGGTTACTTATTTAAAACGACTGCATATACCTGGAGAAATGGTTACGATACGAAATTATGAGAAATCTATGATGAAATACCAAAATCAAGGAGTACGCAGGCTGTTGCACCCTGGCCTATTGGTCAAGAGGTTAGGCGTACGCGCACAATGCCGTAGGTCCCAGGTTCGAATCCTGCGAGGTGCAGCAGTCGTGGCTACTCACTAACACTGATGAATCACATATCAAGACGAGACGGCCATCGTGTGCTTCTTCCAGGTTCCTAATGGTGGTCTAACAATGATTGCTTCACGATTTCAAATGTGTAATAAGTAGGTCATAAAAAACTGTAAAACTTATTTGAGTGCCTGGAAAAAAAATGATCAGGACTAAACAAATATGAAATCGGTCATATCTGTCGTAACTCATAAATTATGAATCTACATGCATACACGCATACGAATCCTTCATGAATCGATGCTTCTCTTAAGATTACAGTTGCACTATTATTAATGTGAGGCAAATAGCATGAGAACTAGATTGACTACCTTCAACCATTTAACATCAATCTAATTTATTGTCTGAATTCCTAATAAAAATACAGAATGAATAAAATTCGAAAAAACAAAAAACCTACAATTTAATTGAACCTAATCACTATTAAGTACTAAGCAATAACAGACAAAGACAGACAGATACAACGCAGAACTTCGTAAGTAAGTACATCAGTTCAGGTTGCCATGCCCCATCGGCACAGAGATGCAACTGTCAGTTCAAATCCAACAGTGATAGCAATAGTAGAAGTATTAGCAGTAATGGAGAAAGATTAGGGAGCGAAGATATGATTAGAGAAGTATAATTCAGTAAGATAGATTTAGAAGGAGAAAGGTAGAGATGGTGAGGAATGCAGAAGGTTAGAATTAAAAAGCACACAAAGAGTGGATGCACCTGCGCCATTGCAAACGATTCTGAGCCATGTCACTCAAGGTCTCTAACCACTGGTGACTTTAGTCTCGCGGACCCAAACCAGATAGCCTACATCTACCAACATGATTCAGTCCACTTGTCAGTGACTTCATGGATTTGTGCCATGTTTTGGTTTGGCCGCTCCTAGCTTTCTTCCAACCTACTCCTACACCACAAAACATAGCTCGTCGAGGCAGTCAGTGGTTAGCCATACGTAACACATGTCCCAACCACCTCAACTGATGAAGTTTCACTACTTCATCTATTGATTTGCCATCCTTACCTAGAACTCGTTTCCTAACGACAGCATTGCTTATACGATTGTCCCATAATACACGAGCAACGCTTCGGAGACATCGATGATCGAAGACTAGTAACCTACGAAAGTCCTCTACTCTTAACGGCCAAGTCTCGCATCCGTATAGTAGGACGGAGTGGACTGCTGCACAGTACACTCATCCTTTAGTTAGCAAACGGATATCTAAGCAATAACACATTGGACTGAATTGATATAGGAATACCTTATTCTTAAAAATAGTTGACTTATCGAGTAATATATATTTTCGACCTATTCCATAAGAATGTAAAGCAGAATTTTTAAAAATCATATTAATATATACATATCTGGTATCATTTTATAGTTAGATAATTTAGTGTTATTTACCTTGTACTAATATTATTTCAGCTCATAGTAGATAGAATTTGACTGCCAATTGAATCAACGATGAGCGTTCTGTGCAGTTTGCGACTTGTTGCCTAGATTCTGTTAAATTTGAGAAATCATATTCCCTCCTGGATTACCACTCATCACTTTTACTTTCAAAGGTACAACGAGTCAACCGATTGACGTTGAATTCAAATTGAATGAAATTTTTGAATTTATTCTGATGAATATTGAACAGAATTTTTAAAATCTGCATTGATTTAACTCTCTTTAAATAGTGCATGTAAAGATTATCGATTTTTAATAAAAACTTCTCAATAGCGTAAAGATTAAAACAGACAGTATTTTATCGGTATTGTCAGGATTAGAGTATGATGTGACAACATTCGAATGCAAGCATATTGCATTTGATGTGTATTAGTGCTCACAACTATCCTTACAATAAATATATACATTGTCGATATATAACCTTACTCACAGCTGTTCTACAGTTACTGCAGGTTCCAAGCTCCGATAGAGAAGGAGAGTTAGT